TAGTATATATATATATATATATATATATATATATATATATATATATATATATATATATATATATGACTTTGCTGGTGCGTGTGTAGTGAGAGGGAGGTGTGACTTTTCGTTGCGCCAGGGTTATACATTTCTTGGCAGCAAGGGGCTCCGCAGGTCTCACTAAATGTCCGACGTGGACGAGTTGATAAACGAACTGTTTCCGGGGGATGGTACCGAGCTAACCTCAGGGCTAAGCATACATTCCGTCATGCATGATCTGCCTGCATCCAAGGCGGACTGGGACGCAAGTGACGAGGAAGATGGGAATGCCATAAGTGCAGAGGTGCAGCCTGTGAAGTCTCTAGTTGTAGGAAGTTCTAGGAATGAATCCACTTACACTCCCTCCAAAATCCACTTTGATGAGAGTGACGAGGACGACGCTGAACCCGACGTGGCGCAGACTTGCTCCTCTTTTGCCGTTCCATTCCCATTGTTGCCTGCTAAGATTGGAAGCGCATGTATGGGGAAGTGTTTTGTTACAAACATGGGATCAAAGCTTCTTCAGTACCCTACGATTGCCCAGCTGTTGTTTCTCGCACAAGGGGAGCACAGTAATAAATTTTCTCAAAAACAGTTACTGGAACGCAAAGGAGCTTTTTATGCAGTTGATGCCAAAATTGGAAACGGCGCTTCTGACAAGCACATGGAGGATATGGCTTGTCACGGCGGATGCCCTATGATAATATGCCGAAGGTGTAACTATGGAGTAATACGCCTTCAAGGAGCTGCTTGGCAAGATGGGGGGGGCATGATAGACTTGTACCTGACCGTGCGTAATTATTATCCCGATTGGAGTAGGCTGGTCAGCTCGTGTCCCGTAGGACAAACGAAAAATGGTGAGCAAAATAGGGTCCTATATTCACGCACCGGATGCGCTGCGTACTGTTGCCAGTGTTCTTGGCTTACTGTGAGCTCTGAACAGGAGACGATAGAGACTCTCCCATCCGATACTGTAGGATATGTAGGAAAAGAAAATTACCTTTGTTTTGCCACTCAGTTGCCACTTCCGCAAGGAGAAAGACGAAGACCTCCACTATGGCTCTGTCGAGGGCACATACCACATTTCTGAATGTTTAATCAACAACACATGCATACATATCTGTGTTTGCTTGTGTGTGTGTGTGTTGACATTTTCTTTCTTTCCTGTTGTTGTGAGTTGAAGTCGTGTGTAGGCGTTTTCTGGATTCCTTACATCACTCTATCTCTCTCTCTCTCTCTCTTTGTTTGTATACCTGTCTGACTAAATGCATGTGTTTGTCATGTGAAAATCACGTACATTTATTATTGTTATTACTATTATTTGCTTCTTTCCATTCATTACCATACATTGTTATGCTTCTATATTCTTTCTGCGCTTGATGTGCCGTTCCGAAGCTGGTGAGCACTTGCAGCCAATGCCCCCAAAGAAGAGGTCCGGCTCAAAGAAGAAGAAGGAGGTGCTACAAGATCCGAACACCATTTCGAACGGTGAGTGCAACTACTACATAGGCTCTTGGTCCTACTACCAAAGCATAGACGCTGTCTCCGACATTGCACACACGGTGCTGCAGCAGCACACATCCGCTGATGAAGAAGTGGGGACTTTGCCACGCACAAATATTCTTTTACAAGCATGCAAGCTCGGGGACGCGAGTACCCACTATGCTGTAGAAGTGGCCGACAACATGGTTGTTGAGAGCGTGCCCCGATCCTTTATGGAAAATGCAGAACAGTTGAAGAAGGAACTCAGCACGGATGGAGAAGAGGCTTTGAAACAAGGGGAGACCGCTTCAGTGCAGGAACAGGTGGATTCATCTCCTGTAGTGAGTGAAAAGTTGAAGAATGAGCTCAGCATGGACGGAGAAGAGGCTTTGAAACAAGGGGAGACCGCTTCAGTGCAGGAAGATATAGATTCATCTCCTGTAGTGAGTGAACCCGATGTTGGCGCCTCACGGAGCTCCCGCGATGTGATTCTGGAGGGGACCGTGCATATTGATGGCATTGTGACGCGCATTGTGATTAAACCCGACCTTCCAGAGCCTCCTGCTCCCCCACCAATTAAGCGAGGGCGCTCCGTCAAGCGCAAGAAGAGTTCAAAGCTTATTGAGGAAGAACAAAGGCGCTTAGCTGAAGCCGCACGAATATATGAAGAGAAAGTTAATGCAGCTGTTGCAGCTGCTCGGGAAGAGGAGGAATATCAAATGCAGTTTGCACATCCTAATCGTTGGCCCCATGTAGTATTCTCTAATATGACTTTTGCAGGTCAGGTAATAGTTTCTCATGCACACGTGACATTCCGCAATTGCCGCTTTTCCGCAAGTGGCCTAGACATTACCCAGCTTCTGGTGACGCAGTACTGTGAGGTGGAGTGTATAAAGTGTACCTTTGAGTGTCCTGCAAAGGGCAGCGTTTACGGCTTCCCAAGGAGTAAGTTGACCTTTCGAAAATGCCTCTTTACGGGTAGTTCAAATATGTTGCCTTCAGGGATACTCGCCAAGAGTAAGGATTGCAAACAGCGGCTCAGGGCTGTGGGGCTGCATACCGACTGTTCTCGCGTCATGGTGGAGGATTCTCAATTCACAGAGTTGGAAACTGCTATTCTTTTGCGTGGCTCACACCCTGACGGCACCGCTGGAAAGCCAGGGATGGTGGTGCAAGCCTGCAAGATGGACAACATCTTCGGCACAGGTGTCGTTTTGGACGGTGCGCGTGGGGTGGAGCTGACGAAGAACAAATTCTCAGAGTGCGAATACTACTCGTTGGACTGTGTCAAGGGCAAAGATATCCGCGTGTTTCAAAACAGGTTTTACTCGCAGGTTCGCGTTCAGGAGCGTGCGGAGGTGAAATTCATGCACAATAAGTGTGGAACGGTGCCCCTGAGTTTGCAGGAAGTTGACAACCCCAACTGGCAGCCGGTGTACTGAGGGTTGAATGCATGTATGTGGGCAAGACGTGTGAGCTGAAACTCCCCGTCGTATTTCCTGCTTAGGATACCAGGAGCCGTTTTTTAAACATTGGTGGTGACAGAGTGAGGCCCTGATACTTTTGAAGTATTGTCTTGCTTCCCCACCAGTCAGAAGACGACAGCGACAAGAAACAGAGCTACCACAGCACGAAGAGTAAGCTGCAAACAAAAACAGAAGCGAAGAGATGTTGTTAATACACGGTGTGATGCATGTATGGGAAACGC